TAATTCTATGTAAAACATAACTACAATACACATATATTTCAAGTTCGATTTTTTTTTTTGCAGGACTCATATTGGAAAAGATTGTTACCCTTCTTGCATGTCTGGCATACACATTCTCATTCACATTTTTTTGTGTGTTATCTGTGATTTGCATACGCCCCTTTACAGAACGTATTATGGTATACCATTATCCGACCGTATGTCCGTCCGTCGTCAACACTTCAGACAATAACTCAAAGACGCGTTCTCCAATTTGCATGACACTTTGATGAATTGTTTATATATGTATATTGACATACGTCCCCTTTTAATTGAAAAACAAATTCTGATTTTACTTTTTGGAGTGTTGGGAATTTGTTCATAAAAAGGAGGGATTTTCCAGTTTTCGGACAATAACTTAAAAAAAAAAAACGGTTCCCATGAAACTTAGTTGACTATATCTATTGAAATAATTTATTTTTTTGATAAATTTTTGATATGACATTGCGAAGTTATGGAACTTTTTTTTTGAAAAATCGTCGAAAACTGTCCATTTTCATACTTTAGACGGTTATAGAATGTCATTCGTTTAAAAATTGAGGCCACAAACTTAGTTCAGGTAGCCTTAATAGTTCCAAATTATTCATGTTTTATGTTTTCAGTGCATGGTTTTGTTTTTTTTTTGGTTGAAAGGGGAAAGGTGGGGGGGGGGGGGGGGGTCTGTTTGAGCAGTACTCACAGTATTATTAGTTGTAGTCAAGTAACATTTAGGAAGTTTTGTCAGATCTTCAAACTACTTGGGTTTTATTCCTAAGGTATAGGGTAAATTAGTTTTGCCCCATATCACCCACTTTTCATTTCATAGAAGACTTCAATAGCTCATAAAAGGTCATTAAAAAAATTTCAGCAGATTATAGATTTCTTTTTTTACAATTTGAGACCCAAATAATGCAAGTGCAAAATATAAGGAAGATTTTCCCGAACTTTTTTAAAAATCAAATATTTCGAAAAGGAGTTCCATAACTGATCAATATTTTTAGCTTATTTTGTTCCTTATCTAATGCACTTTTGATTTAAAGAATCAATTTTAAATTCCAGATTTTTTTAATTTCACCTGAGTACATCCTTAAAGCTTAACGATGAGCAAAAAGGGCGACGGCGTATCATGCGCTCATGGCGCAGTTCTTTATTTTTTTTTTGTATTTGCATTATGAAGGGATTTTAAATTCGGATCATTCCACATACTTTTTCTTACACGGTGTAGACTCTGTCTTAACAAAAATGTACTATTTATTTGAATGCACCTTTAGAGATTCTTAATCAATTTTATATATTCAATAGATTAACTTCAACTTCAAATTGATATCTTCTGCTGATCGCCTCTACATAGTCAGTGGCATCTGATGTATCATCAACCAGTTAAAACAAATAATAAAATGTTAAATTTGAATTTGGAACATTGCATTTAAAATTAAATATCAAAATTTTCTTAGCGTCAGAACACATGGAAATTATATACCATTACTTATCATCTAACATCAATGGGTCGATACCTCTGCTGGTGGACTATCAGTCCCCGAGGGTATCATCAGCTCAGTAGTCAGTACTTCGGTACTGACATGATTTATAACAAACCTTTCTAAAATTGTCCGTTTATAAATTTTGAAATTATAAATAAACTAAGGTTTCAACTCCCTCAGGCAAAGTTGACCTTAGATGAATTTGGCTATTTGTTTTAGGTGTTTTTGTCATATAGCTCTTCAACTGTCTCGGTACTTATACATCCCTTGGATTTCAAATGTTTGAATTTGAGCATACTGATGAAGGTAAATCCAGAAAAGCGCTTCGGACGCATAAAATTATTAAACGATTTGTTTTCAATTTTTTTCATCACTGGGTCGATACCTCTGCTGGTGGACTATCAGTCCCCGAGGGTATCATCAGCTCAATAGTCAGTACTTCGGTACTGACATGATTTATAACAAACCTTTCTAAAATTGTCCGTTTATAAATTTTGAAATTATAAAGAAACTAAGGTTTCAACTCCCTCAGGCAAAGTTGACCTTAGATGAATTTGGCTATTTGTTTTAGGTATTTTTGTCATATAGCTCTTCAACTGTTTCGGTACTTATACATCTCTCGGATTTCAAATGTTTGGCTTTGAGCGTTCGTGATGAAGGTAAATCCAGAAAAGCGCTTCGGACGCATTAAAATTATTAAACGTGTTGTTTTAAATTTTTTACTACTACATGTTCATTCACTATTAAACTTAAGATCTTGTGGAACATGACAGAAACATTATAACTTTACAATTTTAATGCACTTATGCATTTGTTTTTTTTATACATGTATCCGTTGTATGATTCAGATCTTCTAAACTGTTTTTCCTAATAACTTGTCTTTATGGGATACTTTGGTCTTGTAACGACACGTTCCTCAAGACTGAATGTAGAGCTGTGATAGAATTGATTGATTAATAGTGATAAAGACGCGCAGCACTATTGGTCACGAAGGGGTATAACTAATTCAATGAACCATTAGCATCATCCATTTGCATAGCATATTAAGCTTTCTGTGTCAATGTTTTTATATGAAATGTTTCTACCTTTTGGATATTCACATTTTCTTTTAAAGTAAGACGAACATGGATGAAAAGGAAAAAGGTATTTCAAGATTGCCATCCTTTAAGACCTCCCCTCAGAAATGTATGACGAATCTTAATATCAAGAAATGCACAATGTATGTGCTTTCTAAGAAGCCATAGGTACCTGAAGCGTTACACAATTGCGAAAACAAAAATTAAATTGACCTTCATTATTTTAAACAATTCTCTTGTTGTGCTTTCTTACAAGTTTAGCTTACTGTACATGTTTGTGTAATGCACTGTTGACATGTTTCACTATCACACCTGTATCTTCATGTATAGCCAAGACATTGATTTCCGATAGTAAAAATGGTGCTATATTTCTTTATTGTTTATTAATAGCAACACAAAGGGACATGGAAATGGCACATGTTACACTAAAATTTGGTCAAAATTAGAATATGAGCATAATGAGTTATATTGTACATGTACATGTTGTACCTTTTCTGGAACCAGAAAACGTTGACATTTATCCATCAAGTGATCAAATAAAAATCAGATGCTTTTCATCTCACTTTTTATTTTAAATGTAATGGAAAAATTTGAGCGAAAAGAAATATTTGTAACCATTACAACAAGTTTTGATCCTTTGTCTGGTATAGATATGAATATACAGGCTGTCAAACAGAAACTACCCACAACAAACATACATAACATTGGCACTCATAACACATCTTCTTATATCTATAAAACAATCTTTATGTTCATAAAACACATTTTAAGGCGGCAATGCATAATATATTTTGCTATCTAAACATAACTGCATTGCACACTAATTTTCATGATCATATTTGAAAACTTAACCTGGTCAGTGAGGCCAACATGCAAATGTATGATTACTATTTAGATCCGATTTTACTCCTCTTTATTCTGCAATACCAGACAGTCATGTTGTTAATCAGACAGATTTGATCAACAACAAATATGTGTTAGATTATCAAAAAGAGGGGTCTCATTGTACCTGTCGTGTTGCACTGAATAACTTATTTTGTTTTCTGACAACATAAATATTATCTAAAACTTTGTTTTTACCTGTTAATAAGAAGTGGACGAGTTGTGTTAAAGTTTAAGATCATATAAGATCAGTTCTAAAAATTTATACATTTCACAATAAAATTGTATTTACTAGGATAGTGTTGATTTCGCCATCTAACGAAGCAAATCCATCAACAAACATGTTGGGTATTTGCCATTAATGTAGAGTATACAAGATATGGAACAGAATCAGATACTACATGTTTTATTTCGTTTAGTGGCATTATTTTTTATTGTTAACATCTGATTGAATTTGTTAATAAGATTTTGACAAGAACAAGTTGTGTTTATATTTTAAATCAGATACTATCATCAAACAAATAATATGCAAAACATGTTTTTGAAATAAAACCAAATACTTGTTATATTGTATTTGTATAAGGATTTGCCTTTTCGAAAGGAATCAAGATCTACAAATATTCTATGCATTTGTCTATGCAAGTCTCACTTTACTTGTCTCATCAAACTTTATCAGTTAATAAACATCATGAAGGACCATTTTTATTTTCTGAAAATTGTTTTTTTTTTATTGAAATTTGATTGAACTTGTCTGAATACGAATTCGATAAGCTACAAAATAATACTAAACTGTGAAAAAATAATAACTAACTGGAAAACGAAAAATCTAACAATGATAGGTAAAATAGCAATTGTTAAATGTCTTCTCAAACCAAACCTTATATGTTTAGTTTCATTAACAAACTTACACCATGAATTTATTCAAAGTTTAAAACTGTAATGTATATTCTATATAGGAGGATAAACAAGAAAAAGTAAAACGAAGCAAAGATAAGACTGATGAAAGAAATCAAATCTTATAGGGTAACCAACTGATAACGTTTCAAGAAAAAGGTTTAGTTTTTACAGAATGGATAAAAGAGGGCATCATGGGTATTGTTCATATGAATGATATTATCGACCAGAATGATAACATTTTTTAAGATATGATATATAATAAAGTATCCTTTAAATCCAATCTAATGTTTGAAATTTCAAAACTAAATTATACTATACCAAATAAATGGTTAAAGGTACTTACATCAGATAACCCAATACAATCAAAACAACTTGATAAGAGCGTGTTGTGTTAACTTCTTATTCAGATAATATATATAAATGATGGAATTTCATACATTTCTTACAAAAAATGTTTCAAATGACAGTTCTGATCGAAGATTTGACAGTTCACAACATGGGTCTGAATCAAATGATACATGCTATAAATTGTTTTTTACTTATTTATGTTGGATAATCATTTGACTTGTCTGATCAAACTGTATTAGATAATAAACACGATAATGGACCAGATTTTTTTTCTGACAACAACTTATCTTATTAAGATATGATTTTACTTGCCAATAAGAACTTGGTGAGAACACTATGGATTAACTCATTGGTCATATAATCTGAATTCTACAGACGGATATAATGTAAATTATTTTTTAATTATTGTAAATATTTGTAGGAATTCTATCAAACGGGATCTTAATGTAATTGTTTTATCAAAAGGACCCGATTGAAATTAATATTTTACACATTTCTTACCAAAACAAATGTTTTACACGACAGATATGATTGAAGCGTCTTACATTTCACAGCATTGATATGAATCAAATGATGTATGTTGCATTGTTGTTGTGGGTTTGTTGTTTATGTATAATTTACAATGTGACTGGTCATTTTATTCAGTTTAGATCAATAGTTCTTGTAATATATATTTCATTTATTTTTATTACACACATTGTTTAGTTAATGACACACGTGTTAATGTCTGTTTTATGTTACAGGATGGACATACATCATTATTGGTTGCTGCCTTTATTGGACACCTAGAGATCGTCCAATACCTTGTCACAGTCGGCTGTGACAAAGAAGCAACAGACTACAAGGTGATGTTATATATCTTCTCAGTCTTATTTTACTATTCTTTCTTCTGAATTAACACAGAATCATATTGTTTAAATGACAACCGATATGTATTAGAATTACATATAGTTGGATCTTATTTTGACGTTTCTCATCGTACTTAATATAGTTAAAAGGACCTATTAAGAGGCAATGCCAGAGAGCATCTGACAGGTGTGTTCAACGAAAAACAAATAATTCGTTAAAAAATATCATTTACCAAATCAGTATAGCATACTGTCTGAGAATATATGATATTTTTTACAATCGTTAGTGAATTTGACATTGTTCTTATGAAATTCAATATAAGAGCTCAAACGGCGAATTTTTACTAAAATGTATAAGAAATAGAGCCATTTTCTATCAGTTTTTAACTATCTATCACCTGAAGAAACCAACACTCACGGCTGAACTACCTATATGGCAGTCTAGTACTATGTTAGTATTAAAAAAAAAAAAAGTTTGGTATCTCATTTAATCGTTGCATAAAAAAAGTAAGAACAATGCAAAATATCGTGAAAATTACATGAATCAAATTGCAAAATGCCATTAATTTTTAATTTCTATTGTATATACATGATATAATTAATCGATCATAATAAAGAAATGTAGTCCCTTCTCCCCTATTTTATTTTTGGTTATCAATACCAACCATTACTCGGTATTGTTTTTCAAAAAACAGTTTGTTTCTGTTGTACATATCTTCACCCTTTGAAATAAACTTTAATATTTGGCATATGGAAGCAGCACCTTAAGATAGTGTGTTGAATACCATAGAATATAACCTCTGACCTTGACATTTACCCTTCCAGGTCAACTTCCAATTAAGAAATTATTGCGTGCAGTTATTATTGCGATTGTTAAACAATCCACAAATATACTAGTTTCTTTTTTGCCATTTCAGGACATGCTGCAGACAAATATTGATATCACAATTTATACCTTTTTTTATTGCGACACCTACAGTACTTGCAACCTTAGGCGTAACTATTTTAGCGACCAATCAGCAGTTATCGATCTGTCACCGATTACTCAAGTTCACGTCAAACTCGCGTCACCAATCCGTCAGACTTATAGTACAAATATTTGACTGATCGGAAGGATCGGACTGATTGGACGGACCTATCTGATGGACTGAACTCTACTACGTCACACTCATATAAATTACTGAATCTTATTTGCGGTTCATTCGATTAAAATGGCGCCGTGGAAAAATACGAAGAGTTCAAGTACAGAAGCTCGACATTTTATTATTAATCATTCATAATTAAAAGAGAAGATAAATATGCGGGGACCCATATGAAGAGAAATATGCGAAGACCAATCGAAACAACATCTGATTCAAAAATATAATAACACTTTTGAATATTTGGATGATGTATTGGCTCTCAATAATGACGATTTCAGTATGTACACTAAAGAGATTAATCCTGCTTAACTGACTTTAAATAAAGCTAATACTAACAATCAACACTGTCCTTTCATGGATCTTGATATTTATATCTTTAACGGGAAGCTTAATACCAACATGTATGATAAAAGAGATGATTTTTCACTTCTTATTGTAAATTATCCATTTTTAGATGGTGACGTTTCCTTGTTACCGTCTGATGGTGTTTATATATTTTAACTTGTTCGATTCGCTCGTGTATGTAACGACGTATTTGATTTTAACGAACTAAATCTCTGTATTACTGAACAAGTATTACACTAGGGTCTTCGATATCACGAACTAGTCAAAACATTTACTAAATGTTATCATCGGTACAAGAACATCATTCGTAAATATAAATCAACATGCATACATCTTATACGTTTAGGTATTTCACATCCAATCTTTTATGGCACAAACATGTCGGTATTCACCTCAAAAGCTAACAGAATCTTTAAACAGACTTATTCAGAAGGGATATCGTTACGATACTGTTATCAGGTCATTAAAGATGGCATATTTTGGTATTACTATTGATTCACTCATAGAGTCTTTGCATCAGAAATAAACACATTTGTTCTAAAACCAGTTGTTGGCATGATACGGGTTATCTTCTTCTCATATATTTTATGATGGTATGATACTAAACCTCTAACGGGAGGGATTGTGCTAGATTTTCATGAAGACATAATCTTTCAATTAGTTAAATTGAGGTCTGGAGCTGGTATGTCAGTAACTGCTAGTAGTCCTTTGTTAATGTATGTATCATTGTCATTTTTCTTAGTTTCTTTTGTTACCTATTCTGACATCGGACTCGGACTTCTTTTGAACTGATTTTTACTGTGCGTATTGCTGTGTGTTTGTTTATTTTACATTGGCTAGAGGTAAAGGGAAAGGGTTGAGATCTCACAAAACATGTTTAACCCCGCCGCATTTTTTCGCCGGTCCCAAGTCAAGAGCCTCTGGCCTTTGTTAGTCTTGTATGTTTTTTTTTTATATTTTAGTTCATTTATATGTTTTGGAGTTTAGTATGACGTCCATTTTCACTGAACTAGTTCACATTTTAGTTAAGGGGCCAGCGGAGGCCCGCCTCTGGGTGCGGAATTTTCTCGCTGTGTTGAAGACCCTTTGGTGGCCTTCGGATGTTTTCTGCTCTTTGGTCGGGTTGTTGTCTCTTTGACATACTTCCCATTTTCATTCTCAATTTTAGATACAACTACATTAAAATATTATTAAAAAATTGTGATTTTCGTTTAAGTTTAGCTTATTATTTTTTCAAACACGAATATTGCTAAAACGATGTTACTCCCGACTGTTGAAAATAATCCGAAAATACTCTGAAAATGAAATGAAATGATCATTTATTGCAAATTTCATTTTTATAATACCACCAAATCATAGTACGTCACATCCGGTTGCATACGAAAAAGGGTCGAAAAAAAAAATTCCCTTGAATTTGAAAGTTGTAGGAAATTAGTCCTACATGTAATTGCAGTAAAAAATGTCTTGGTCATAATCATATATCTTGGGTGTTTCAAAGCACCATTATTTTGTATTTGGTGTTTATACAGAATATTTTGGAAAATTGAGGTTACATGGTTACTAAAGCTTGTATACAGGTAAGAAAGAGTTGAACATTTGATTGGTTAACTTCCAGTGATAGGTATTTCCTTATATGCAATGAAATGTTATATATAGTACTGGACAGGATAAAACTTTACTCATGCGAAGTATTTCTTTATTTTAAAAAAAGATCAATTCAGCACATTTTTTTTTTAAAAAAGGCAAATTTAACAAAGACTAATAAGGGAAAATCAATGGTGGTATAACACTATAATATAAAGAAATATGCAGCAAGATGGAGATTTGAAAGCAATGCGAACAAATATAAAGTGTATTTTCCCTAATCATTTTTTTTTTTTGAAGATTAACTTAACAAAAATAATTATATCCAATGACAGTCTTCGTGTAATTAAATCTTAATGAGAAAAAAAAATGCACACTTATTTAACACAAAGAAGACGTTACATATTTTAATCATTATATTATTCAAATTTGATAATAAGTAACTTATCAAAAGGCAATTTAGATAACTGATTGCTAACAACAGTGATTTTTTTTTATAAAACGACAAAACATTGGTATTTTTAAACAATTTAACCATTGGAATAAAGATATAATTCCATTGTTATTCAAAGCACACGAAAGTTTAAGAACCTTTAATTAACTTATAATAAATAACATTGCATTATTTTTTATAAAAAGAAAAAATATAAGTATTTTTAAACAATGCGAACAACATTTTAGTATATTTTCTCTGATATTCATTTAATTTAATGAAAAACAACCAATCCTGATGTACAAAATGTACTAAAGTCATATGACGGTTTCATGATTTCCAGTAAAATAAAGAAATACTTGCATTCTTATTCAACAAAAAACAAAAGTTTAAGTATATCTAACCATTTATTATGCACATCCTATACACAATCACTTAAATAAAGGCATGTATAATGACTGAGTGCAAATGACGTTGCATTATTTCTGATATAAAAGAAAATATATTTGCAATGTTAAGCAATGTGACCAAAAAGTTAGTATCTTTTCCTTGAAATTCAGCATATTTTATGAAAATTAACAATCCTGATGTAGAAAAAGTAACAAAATCAAATGGCGGTTAATAATTTATATTGAAATACAAAATTATTTCATTCCATTTCAACACAAAGAAAAGTTTAAGTATTTTTTCTCTTTATATCATTAAGATATTAAAACATATGATAATGAGGCCTTTGAAATAACTTATCCTTAATGTTCATTTAATTTTGTGAAAAAAAACCCATCTTGATGTACAAAAACTACTAAAATCCAATGGAGGTTCATGATTTCTATTAAACCAAAGAAATAAATGCATTCATATACAACTCAAACAAAAGTTAAGTATCTTTATCCTTATAGTATACATCACATCTTATGCAAAATTAATTATCTAAAGGAATTTATAATAGCTTACTGCAAATGGTGTTGCATTATTTCTGATATAAAAGAAGATATATTTGCATGCTTAAGCAATGCGAACAAAAATTTAGTATCTTATTTCAAAAATTCAGCATATTTTATGAAAATGTTTCTATTCAACACAAACAAAAGCGTAAGTATTTTTCTCCTTATAACATTAAGATATCATAAAACAAAATGATCATGAGGGCTTTGAAATAACTAATTATAATTAACATTGCATTATTGTTGATAAAATGAAGAAGTATAGGCAATTTTAAACAATGCGAACAACATTTTAGTATCTTTTTTTTGATGTTCATTTAATTTTATTAAAAACAACCCATCCTGATGAACAAACATAACTACAATCCAATGGTGGTTTGTGATTTCTATTAAACTAAAGAAATAAATGCATCCTTATTCAACTCAAACAATAGTTTAAGTATCTTTATCCATAAAGTATTCATCACGTCTTATACAAACTTACTTATTTAAAGGCATTTATAATAACTTACTGCTAATGGTTTTGCATTATTTCTGATATAAAAGAAG